GGTGATTGATGATTTAATTAACTCTCAACAGCCACCATAGATAGATCAAGTTAAGAACTAAAACTTCAGAAGCCTCCTCCTTAACATAAGTTCCTCATTTTACCACTCTTCTTATGCTCTACATGTGAGTATACTTGATTTTAATTTAGATAAAAATAAACTTTTAAAATGCTTTTTTTTTTTTTTTTTGGGGTCTTTTGACTAAGTGATTTCAACATAATCATATTTTGAGAATCTTGATTTCTCATTTAAAACTAATAAATTAAAGTTGATTTAAAATGTATACTACAAAAAATGAAATAACGAGAAATAAACTTTTGGTGTTAAATTTTTTTTTTTTTTTTGCATATTTAGTCCCTATTTGATAAGGAATAAAATTAAGATTTTAATTTACGTAAAAATCAATAATTAATTTTAATCACATATTTTATGGGATCCTATACCTTTTAACCACATATTTCATCGGTTTGTATTAAAATCTACTAAAATTTTGATTTTAATCACCATCGGACATCGACCTAATGTTACTACATTACTTTAATTTTCTAACATCAATATGAATGATTGGCAAAACTTATAATTGTTTTGTAAGTTGCTCAAAATCTTTTTATTCACATATTTCATAAAGTTATAACTTTTACTTATTTTTTAATCATAGTTTTTAAGATCCACAAGTTTTGTCAAACAACTAACTGACCCCTTGATTTTAAGGCTGTTTTTGAATTGGATTAGTAGATTTATAGATTTAGCCCATGTTTGGTTAAGAAAAAAAAATAGATTTTGATAAAAAAAAAAATAATAAAATATATGATTAAAGAGTTGATGAAAATTGTGAGGTTCATCAAATGTATGATTACAAGTGAGTTTTCAAAAAATGAGTTTTTTTAGAAAATGAGAACCAAACATGGACTTAGGCCTTGAATATGTAGATCGTTTTGGGTTTCCAATTTTGCAATCAAACTAACTCGATCAAATTAAAATAATATTTTAAAGACTAAATCAAAACCAAATTTTTTAAGTGACCATGCACCATGATAAAGACGTATCTCAGTGGTTACTGAATTATTTCAAGTGCTACTACTTAGTTCCTGTTTGGTAGAGATTATGTGTGGTTCAAAAGTTGTAAGTCCAATGAAATGTGTAATTAAAATTAATCATTAACTTTGATTTGAAATTTTAATCTAAACCAAACAAAGGCTTGATAATTGAACTTAAAAATATATTTCAATGGTCACTGAAGTATGAACCATGTTACACGTTCATCACTTAAGTCAACACAGTTTGTTGAACCTAACGAGTTTTTTTCACTCAAGTGATAGATGGATAACACGGTGCATAGTTCGGTAATCATATAATTACATTTTTAACTTCAATTACGTAGTAGTAAGCAAAGTTCAAGTAACCATTGGGCTACATTTCTAACTTTGGTTCAAAGTTCGTTGAGATATTTAACCCGAAATCAAACTCGGCCCAAACTTCGTCTTTCGCCATTGAAGTGAACCCTACCCCTCGCCGGAGCGGTGGAGTTCTACACGGGGGCGTGCACCACCATTTCCTCCTCTCTAGCTACCATTCTCACCAGCCAACCACCCTTCGATCGTCACCGAGCCTATTAATTGTACGGAATCGTGGCTCCACCCCTCTTTTGAATTCTGTCTTTTGATAATTTTCATAATTTTTATGATGCTGCAGCTGTGATTCATCCAGTTGCAGATCACTTTGCATATTTTGCCCACTTTGTGATCCGATTGCAGCTGTGATTTGGGCCAACCGAACAGACCTGATTTGATCAAACTCCTAGAATTTAATTATTGAATTCCATCATGGAATCCGAAGGTAAATCTAACGTTGAACAATATCTTTCTTATTTTCCATTCCAAAGATTTGTTTTTTTAGAATTTTGTTTACATAAGAGCAATTTTTTCCTTTTCTTTTCAGGGCAAAGATCACCAAATCCCTCGGCAATTCTGGCTTCCTTGTTGTGCAAAAGAGCAAAGCTCCATGAAGAACTTCGAAACATCGAAAAGCAGGTCAACTAAATTGCTGTTATTGGAGGAAACATTTATTTATGTCAACTTAGTCTTCAACACCGGCACATGTGAATTTATTTATTTTTTCAAATGCCTACCATGTTCATAATCTTTATAAATGGGCAGCAGCAAGACCTTGAATTCAGGTCTTCTTACCTTGTTGAGCCGTCTTATACCTGCTTAAGTTCTTACAGAGGGTGCACTTTTATTTGTTCAAGTCGTTTTCAACAACATATAGGTTTATTTAGGTATATTCAAATTTGTTATGTAATGTCTCTTTAATGGGTTTTACAGGTCTATGATATGGAGACGAGTTATTTACAGGATCCAAGCCAATGTGGCAATGTCTTGAAAGGTTTTGAAGGGTTTTTGTCATCCTCCAAGAGCACTACACTGTAAAAGAATTTGATTTACCTTTTTTCTTTTTTCAGTTTGACGTAGTTATGAAGTACTAAGCTTATTATGAATTAGATTTTATCATTAACACCTAGGTTCTTTTTTTTTTTTTTTTAATATGGAAAACATTGCCTGATTGAAATATTTTCCATGGAAATTGTTTTAACCGAAGAATTTTCTGTATTCGTTTTCTGGTGTTTCGTTGATATAATGAAATTTTCTTTTCCATGGCGGCGTGGCTGCTGGCAATGGTGGGTGGAGGTGGGAGACTTTATTGTGGTTGAATTGTTGTCTAATGACATTACATAACAAAAAAATTACTTACTTAACTTGCATGTTTGCATGTGAAATGTTTTCAGGTTAAATGTCAAAACCTAAACGTATACTGAAGTTAAACTGGTTAACAGTTCCTACTGCAGGGACCTTTGGGTCCAATACCAGCATGCTTTTAAGTCTTTGTTCACCTCTATCCTCATCTAAATGCGCAGAATCTATTAGATTGAATCAAAGGCAGGATAAAGATGATTGTTTAGCATTTCCATGAAAATTACTGCTGGATTGTGAAACTAAATGAACAACAACTATTGTTATACAAACACCATTCATCTGCAAATGAACATTTCTTCTGAAAAAAGTATGGACCTTACAAGTTATTATTAATGATGATGCTGTGTGAAATTTGATTAGATTTGTAATTTTCAAGCAAATATTAAGGTATAATGATCCATGAAACTGTATGTATACAAGTGTGTAGGTTCAGTTACCCGCAGCTGTCATTGCTTAATTTTTCATTGTCTTTTTCTATTTTAGAATGATTTAGCGTTAAATATTTCTTTTTCTAAAATTTAGCTGCAACTTGAATGGATCTAGGAGCATTGATTTACTGATGCATTTTCTTTTTCGAAAATTTGGCTGCAGCTTGAAGCGATCCAGGAAGTTCCAGCCTGAAGATAGGCTCTTCTCATTGTCTTCAGTGACCTCACCAGCTGTATGAGTTTATACTTGCCTATTCCGCATTTTTGTTTCTGTTGTCAGTATCATGAAAAATAATGTTTAAGATCTAGCATGAAAGCAAGTCATCATACGTTAGGAGTGACATGAAATTAGTCTGACAATTGACGTTGGAAACTGTCGTATTTCCCCTCATATGTATAATTCTTGAGCTTATAGCACCGCAATCTGTATTCAAATTTTGTGTATATGATATAAATTTTGGTTGGAGTATCATCTATTGGATCTATCCCATTTTGATCCTATTTTCTTTTTGTCTGTGCCTCAGACTGAAGAAGTTGCACGAGATGGAGGCATATCTGCAAATGGACCGTGAGTATTTAACTGTCACTAAAATCTAAATCATGAATGCTACTTGTTTTCTTATCTTTTTTCTTCATCTGCTATGCTGCAGAGGAAAACCAAGAAAGGGTAGAGGTCCAAGAGATGCAAAGAGAAGGCAGTCAAGTGAAGCCGACTTTGACTATGAAGATGATCCCGATATGATGTAGTTATTATTTCCTATACATTATTAGAATGCCGAATGTTCGCAGGATGTTGGATGATATTGCTATCCGTTTTTACGTTTAATTCACGTTTTTGGATGGCCATCTAACTCTAGCCAAAGTAGTGCTTTTGGCTGTTGTAAAGATAATTTTACCATAAGCTCGAATTTTCATATATAATATCTGCATCATTGTTGAGCTTATTGTTATTTTGCTTGTTAATGTGTACTTGTCATTGATCTTACCAATGCACCAGGTTAGAGGGTTCCTGGATTAATCGACAAGTCATTATCGGGTCGAAAAATGTAACAAAATAATTTTTTTAAAGAAAAGGAGGCATAAATATATGAGTGTATATATGCAAATTCATGAAAATGTAATCTCAGAATTTAATCCCTGTTTGAGAATCACTAAAAAGGTTTTTGGGGAGAAAATTAGAGGAATTCTCCAAGTACAGAGAATTACTCGCAAGGGCTTAATGACAATCCTCTTGTTAAGCCTCTGTGAGTAATTTCCCGTACGTGTAGCATATCTATTGGAATCATGATATTTTGAAAAATGTGTGATTAAAAATGGAAAAATATTTTGAGTTTATGTGCAAAATATTTTATCGTGAGAATGTATAGTTGAAAATGAGTTCGAAAAAAAAGAACAAAAAAATTAGTTTTATTTTAGTGGTTCTTAAACGGGGACTTTACTAACTTGACAAACTCCCACGACGGCGTCGTTTTTATTTACATTCAAAATTCCCTATGCTTCCTTCACTTCCGAAGGCACAAATCGGCAAATTCCGATTCTCGCGGCGGAACTTTCAGCTTGCCAAATTACAGCATGAATCTATTGGTCTCTCTCTATCTAATAAATTTATCATTTTCGTAGCAATACATATAAAATATCCTACCCCATCTTTACTACTGGGCATTATTTGGGCTTTTGAAATTCTTCATTTTGCAGGAAAAGATAAAAATGCCGAAGAAAAAGGCAAATAATCCGCCGCCACAAGTCCCAGTTTATTGGATTGAGAATTCAGATTCAGTGTCTCGACATTTTCAGTTCGAACCTGATGGTCAACTCTTGGTGAGTCCACTTTATGCTTGATTCACACTAGTTCTTGCTAATTATTGCGGTAATTGTATCGCCTATATGTGTATGTTTCGTGTTTAAACAAAATTTTGCTAGCCCATGTAGCTAATTTCTGTCAAGAATTCCGTTTTGTTTTACAGCATTTGTTGTTATCATTTGGTCTTGCATTCTTGAGGTAGGTATCAGATGAGCATAAAATTTTCTGTGGAGAAAAATGTGGTATCTCGAAAATATCTTTAATGGGAGAAAAACTTGTTTCTTGTTCCTTTTGTGGGGTTTGATTGATTTTTAAAAACATCTTCCTTTGCTATTGTGTCACAAACAAAGAAACAAGAAAAATGTGGAAAATATGATGACGGTGAGATGGTGGATAGTGTTTGTGAAGGTGGTGATACCGCCCTAAATACCAAGCATGAGAGGGTGGTGGAAAGTCGAGGTGTTTGGTATTGAGTGCAGGTGGATATAGGAACGAGTTTGTGTGTTGATTTTACTTGACCCTGAACTATTATTTCCTTTTCCTGACATGCCTTTCAAATGCATTTCCCCGCAAGTAATTTTCTGACTGTAGCCAAATGCCATTAAAATGCAGTATTTTCGGGAAAATGATTTGTGTTGATACTGAATAAATTACAAGCCTGAATTTCAATATATTGGTGTTAAATTTCACCCTGGAGGAACATGATTGGATGACTAATCTTTTCTTTATCTGGTTTCCCTTGTGAACTTCGATTGAAATTCTTTTCAGGTGAAGATAGTTGATGATTCTAGACCTGTTACCCATAGAATAGTTGAATCTTTTCTGAATAAGTTCTTTCCTTCAGGATACCCATACAGGTATTACATGGTTAAATCCCTTTCAAATATGTTGGCCATACTTTATTTCATTAGTTTAAGTTTCTGCATATTCAATCTGCAGTGTGAACGAGGGATATCTTCGATACACACAATTCCGCGCCTTGCAGCACTTCACAAGTGCAGCATTATCTGTATTATCAACTCAGGTCTTTTCAGATATTATGAATTTTATATCTCCTAATAGTGCAGAGTAAACAATTTTCAATTCACTTGATGCTCCAAATGACATCCCTGCAGCATGAACATTTCTAAGTTTACTTACTCCCTTCCAGTCTCTGCTATTTGCTGCAGGCTTACGGCCTACTCCTGCACAGGCTACTGCTGTTAGTTGGGTATGATTTTAGTGTTGAACAACTACATGGAGTTTTAGAAAAGTTCCTTTTTCATTTGGGGTCCGCTACATCCTCTGGATCACATGCAGATATTAAAGGATGGCATGCAGCATGTCGGGAAGCTCATATGTAGCAATTTGGGTGCAAGGATGGACTCAGAACCAAAACGCTGGAGGATTTTGGGTTTGTATTTTAGCTTTTGAGCATGAAGTCTCCTATTTTTACTTTGTCTTGTTCACTTGGATTGTACTTGCTGCTACTGTTTTTTTTTTTTTTGTTCGATTACATAGTGTTGTTTGTCTTTTTACAAGATATATAAAAGGAATGAACCTTCCTACTTGCAGCGGATGTTCTCTATGACTTGGGTACTGGTTTGGAAGTGCTTTCTCCTTTATGTCCACATTTATTTCTTGAAGTGGCTGGTCTTGGGAACTTCGCCAAGGTTAATTGCATTTTACTTTCTCTGAAACTTTTATGATGATTCAAGTTTTTTGCTGATATTTTATTCAAGTGATAATATTTGAGATGTGAGGAGGAAAAAACTCATTGTGTGGCAGGGAATGGCAGTCGTTGCAGCAAGGGCGACAAGATTGCCTATATATTCTTCATTTGCCAAAGAAGGAAATCTCAGTGACCTTTTTGCAAAAGGCGAAGCCATCTCGACACTCTTTAATGTTGTTGGAATGGGTACAGGAATTCAATTAGCTTCTACTATTTGCTCAAATATGAAGGGAAAGGTACTATAACTCCTCACTGCTATCTATGTACATTTTTAGACTTTTAGCTTAGGGCTCTTCTAACTTCATATTTTATTTTTTAAATAAATGAATCCATTACAAGGTTTTATTATTTAATCATTTAAAAGAAATACAGGTTAATGTGTCGTGTTACTTTGGGGAATCGGGATCACTCATAATATAGCCCCATTATTGTGTACATGAATTGAATTGGCAAACTGGTGATTAGCGATCCAGTGCTTGCTACTCTTGACCCACATAGCCCCCTTTTTTTCTTCCCGTCTCCTTGTCTTTGACAATCTCTCTTCTCCTACTTTCCCTTTTACATTCTGCATCTGCTTATCTCCATTGAACTATGAATTACCATTAATATGTGGTTGTTCTGGAATGCTGTACGTTGTACATTATGATTACAAAACCAAGTACAGAAACACACAAATCTGTTCTTTTTACATCTCTCACTATCCATAAGTTTTGTTATGAAGATATGTAAAATGCCAATGCTTTTTCTTTGCTTCTTGTCTCTATATTTAGTCCACTTAGTACATAAATTGAGCTTACTATAATAGTTTGTATTCAGTTTTGCTGAGTAGTATTTGTCGCTGTTGATTACACATTTTAATATTTTTCTATCCAGAGACGTATAGTTGCTCTCATTGTGTCTAGTATCTTGCAGTTGGTGGTTGGACCTCTTCTTTCTCTACTACATATTTACAGTGTCTGTGAAGAGATGCGAGCTGCTCCTGTCAATACTCTAAATCCACAGAGAACTGCAATGATCGTGGCAGATTTTGTGAAGGTCTGTTACCAAATGTGCTAGCCTGAGATATTTTAGATATTTAGAATTCGGGCAACTTATATTTTTCCCAATATTGAAACAGACAGGTAAAATTTCTAGTCCTGCTGATCTAAGGTATGGAGAAGATCTCTTATTTCCCGGCCGACTTATTGAGGAAGCGGGAAATGTTATGGTTGGAAGGCCTTTACACAAGGCTGTCAAGCCTTCAGAGCTACACCAGATTAAAAGAACATTTCCCGAGGAAAAATTTATTTTACATCTCGGAAGTAGATGGACAGATATGATATTGGAGCACAACGCGACTGGCGAAGATGCATTGAGGGGGTGGCTGGTTGCTGCATATGCTGCAGATATAGAAAAGTCTTTTAATCTTTCTACTGAGATTGCATTGCAAGATGCGTATGAGAGGATGAATAGCGTATTTTCTCCCTTTCTCTCAAAGCTGCAGTCTAAAGGGTGGCATACTGATCGGTTTCTTGATGGAACAGGATGTCGTTTTTCTTATTAGTGTCATGTAGTACAAGGTAAAACCTCTGCTTTTTCAGGAAATTTTGCAGGTTGCATTCTTAAGAAATTGTTTATTTCACGTTGGGACGAGAGAATTGTAGCCTACTTATGTCATTAGAGGGAATTATAATTAGTAAATAAAGAATTTGGACACGACGTTGCCATTCTTGACAATATAATAGTAAAGAAATGTTTATTTTGTCCAACTATTTGCTGTTCTTTTTTGAGTTTCTAGCATTATTTTTTACTTAATTAATTACTACTTGAATTAGATTACTACAAATTAAGCAGATTATTTCCTTTTATTATTGGCGGATAATATCAGTTTACATTTTATCAAGTACAGTTAATTTATTAAAGAATAATATTATCCATCATTAAAGGAGATTAGTACTTATCTATGTGGTAGTTGGGCATCCAATCAGGAGTCTCACTATCGCCTAGACTCGTGATGATCGTCGAGTGATACAATATTATTTTCTTTTTGTCTTTCTTACTCGTAATATAAGTTAAACTTTATTTTGTACTAATTATACGGTAGATTATATAAAGCATGGCACGTATTAAATAGAAAATACACAACATCGAACAAAATTATATGGTGTAGCTAAAAATCAGATTTTTTTTAGTAGATTTTGATTAAAAAAAATGTGTAGTTGAAAAATTAATAAAAGTTGTGGGTTCCGTGAAATGTGTGATTAAAATTAATTAATTTTAATATAATTTTTTTTTATCAAAATCTAAGTTGTATCAAACATTGACTAAATAATATTTGAAGAGTGCCAAAATTACATGGTGCTAAATAGCATTATTAAAATAATTTACAGAGTAGGAAACCATATTTAAAAAAAAAAAAAAATTAAAAAATTAGAAAGTTACAATCGACGAGACAAAATTTCTTGCTCCTGCAACTCAGCCCGGAACCTGGCGATAAACTCTTCAGCTCTCTCATTAATTCCATTCATTTGCGGTGATGCTAACACCAATGATTCCCACATATCATCTGCTTCTTGCATGCTCTCGTCCTTGAAGGATTCTTTCAAATAATTACTTTTCTGATTATAATCAGAACTACTTGATGAACATTTCTCCTTATTTTCACTTGATTCTTCCACTTCTTGCTCTTTGACTACAGATACAGGTTGTATAAACAGCTTATCAATGTACAAAGGAGTTGTTCTTTGTGGTAGATGACACAGGCTGTGACATTGAAAACCTAAAGTAGCAGGTTTTTTGCGTTTGAATTTCTTAGGTTGAATCGAAAGGTTTGGTTTTAGCCATGAAAGTTTCTTGGAAGCTTTTCGGGGTCGGGTTTTCTGTTCCTTGATCGCTTTGGATTTTTGCAGTCTGAGTTGAAATTTGCTGGTTATTACCTTCCATACTTCTCTTGGAGGCAATAATCTTCTCAACTTCAACCAAGACATTAGAGATACAGAGAGATAAGATTGCTGAGCAAAAGTGTAGGAGTTGTATATATATATATATATATATATATA